GACTTTGAGGATCTCAATGTAAAAAGTGAATTTTAAACAAAATTCTCTTCCTCTTATGAGGATGCTAGCATGTCTATCAAGGTATTTATGAGATTTTCCCTGTAGAGAATACAACCCGAAATGGGAGACTGTTTGGACACATTTTAAACTTGAGTTCAGATATAGCATTCTGTGGACAGGATAGGACTGGAGCTACTCAGAATCAATTCATTATTTGTATGTGTTTACCAAATGGTCTCATTTAATCTGGGCTCCAAGACTGTGAAGTAGATGCCATTATCTTCAATTTATAAATAGAGAAATTGGACACTGATGAGGTCATTTTACTCTTCTGGGACTCAGATAATTAAAATGTGATGGATCCAAGTTTTATGGAGAATTTTAATTTCTGAGTGAATTGAACTCCAGAGGAGATACCCCATCACCCCCTTTTTGTACACAATGTTCCACTGCTTTCTCTCTGAGTGAACCTGTAGCTCATCATGATGTATGATTTCAAAACACAGAGGGAAGAGTATTTCTAAAGCAACTCTGCTGTTCTGAAGAAAATGGCAATTGGAGGAAGTGTGAGAATCACTAAGAATTGTCAAGATGCAATGGAATGTGGAGAGGTCATCTTCAGGCTCTCTCTGGTCCTCTTCAGCATCACTATGGGAATAGACAAGCACATCTGTCCGATATGTGTCAGGATGTCACAGTAAATGTTGTCTATCTGACCTTCTTTCCCCTTTAAGAGGTGAGTAGCATGGCATGTGAAGCTGGCACCAGATAGCCATCTATGTCTGTTGAACATCTTCATTTCATGCCAATGGGGAAGAAAGGGCTTCTTGTCCATAGGCTGCGAAGCAAATGGGGCAGGAGGGCAATGGCATGAGAAGGGCTATAAACCACTGAATGATGAGCACACTTAGGAGGTTATAACTAAACTCGTCTGGACATTATAAACACGGAAGCCATCCTATAAGAAGGCTCTCTACTGACTGGGTGGTCTGTAGTTCCATAGGTTCTGAATTTTTCAAGGAACTGTGTGGTAGAAATAACTTTGCATTATTATAAAGAAGACATGGACTCTAGTTCTGCACTACTTTTTGTAGGGAAGTCATGTTCCTTTCTAGGTCTCAGTTTGGTCCTCTCAGAAGAAGAGAGTTCTTCTAGCAGTGCCCATACTGGGAAGCTTCCAATACTCTGGGATTGGAAATGTGCTTTGCCCATCTCTGAGAATCAATACACAGTAAGGCAACCCATAAGATGTTTGCCTTTTACAAGCAAGGAACTTGTGGTCTGGATTGACTTGCTGAAAGCTGGAGGCCTCCTAACCTATGGGTTCATGTTCTTTCTACGGCATAATCTATCTCCACATTAACATGCAGTGTGTTTTTGTCCTAGACAACACAATGGGAGACTCTCAAAATTATAGCTGCTGTCCAGGAGGAAATGAGAAAATAGGAAAGTGCTCTCATGTCTCTAGGCTAAGGTGTCATGGTAATACGAACCATGGATTGGAACTTCTACCCAACTTCTCATGAACTATTTTAGTGGCAGATAAAACTGTTATTGTCAAGTTTCAATGCATGTAAGAATCCAGAGAGAATCAGATTATGGAGTCCACAGTTGTTTTCTAGCCCCAGAGTATTTCTGCAGGATTAGATATGGTCTTAGAAAAGGAACTTCTGACATAAAGGGTTTCTTCACTGATGAGAAACTTATGTAGAAATAACTATAAAGCCAACCATATTCCCTGCCCTCTGCCCTTGTCTCCATTTGTTACTACTAGGGAAATCTGTCAGAGTTGTACTGATTGTGGTACAGAATCTATATTCCTCACCATGGCTTGGCTAAAATGACCCAACTGACTCAGGCTGTTCTGACACTTTTATTTAACCCTCATTATTTTCTTTTAATTTTGTAGAGCAATTTCACTAAACCATAGTATAAAGCTGATAGGAGAAATATTTGAGTTCAGAATACATGACTCCAGAATAGCTAACTAGTTTCCGAAGTATGATTGAGCAAAGCTTTTTGTTTTCTTGGGTTTCCCGGAGACAGGGAAAGGCATCATGTATTTTAAACACTAAGAGGAAAATTAGATATCCAACTTATTGTCCTTATTCCAAGTAGTACTGAAGGAACTTTCATTTATGGAGGGTGGAAAAGAGTTATTCAATCAGGATGGGGGCCAAAGAAGGAGATTTGCTGTTGGTTTCATATATTAAAGAGTTAAGAAGCACAAAAAAATGCTATAGTCAGAGCTAAGTACTGTTTGTTTTCACTTCTTTTTTCATTCTTTTTCTACTCACATCTTCAAGACCTGAGTGAGAATTTTAACTTGACCACATACTGGAAACTGATAGCTGACTCAAACATTTTGCAGTTACAATTTCTGCTCAGAATCTTGGCTATACACATCAGGATCAGAAACTTAGATAGAGGTTCAAATTGCCTGTTGGATTAAAGTTCCTGCTGGGACTGTGAAAATGAATAGGTCTGTCAAATTGGATGATTATTCTCAGTTTTTCATGTTCTTCCTATATTGGGAATAGCCACAGCTTTTGATATGTAATTGAATAGTGCCTTGCACGAGAGGAAGAAGAATCTACTTCCTTATCACTTGACTTGGGGACTTGACGGTATGATTTCTTTTTTTTTTTTTTTAGTCAAAAGGATGTGAGTGAACGCTGAGTAACCATTGCGAGCCAAGGCCTCTGAGTCACAGGCTGGCCTCACTTGAAATTCTGCAATTCAGGCCTGGATAGCAACTGGTCCCAGGATGATCATGATTCATGGAACAGACTCAAACCACCTGAAACTTGCATCCTAGATCAGACCAGCTGAGCCCGGCTGATATTGACTGAGTTCAGCCAAATCACAGGCAACCTGAAGGCTTGTGAGAATAAGATTTGTTGTTGCTGTTATAGCACATCCCAGGCCTTTTGTTTTATCTTGTTTTGGTTTTTGTTTCGGTCATGTTGACATTATTACAGCCATATCTGATAAGATATAAAAGGTAAAGAAAATTGTCAAAAGAGAGAAAGTTCAGCTAAGTATGTAGCTTTGATGTACAAAAATACATTTATTTTCAACAATTTCAAAACCACTGTCTTTTTTTTACAGTAGAAATATTCAAATGGAACAATAAAACCAAGAACAGTATATATACATATACTGTATATATATATAGATATGACTCATGCATTTGTATTCCAGTGTTTAATACAAGTGTATTGCAATTGTCTGCCCTCATTTAATCCTTGAAACACACAAACAAAAGAACAAGAACTTCAGAAATACTCATATAGTGATCTACGCTGCAGCCAGCCGGATTTCTCTGCATCACATTCTCCCCTGTGTCACACAAAGAGGGATGTGATCAGCACCCCACGAAAATTAACAAGTACAAAATGTGGCCTTAAATCCTGTGTGTGTGTGTGTGTGTGTGTGTGTGTGTGTGTTTGTGTGTGTGTGTGTGTGTACTCATTCTTTAAAATGAGTGTGCACAGGCTGATCCTGAAAATAAAAACAATGCTTACAGTGTGATATAAAGTGACCCTATGGAAAATGGAAAAGAGAACTGATACGTTAAACATGTAAAGGGGCTGAGGTGTGGGAAAAGCCAATTTCGACTTTGAAAACCACTCACCCCAGAGGCAAGAACTACCTTAAGGGAACCGAAGGCAGACATTTGACTTTAAGGAAGTTGTGTACATCTGACAAGCAAATAGCACAGCTTGGCTAAAATCATCTTTGACTAATATCATTAAATGTGAGACCTCTATTTGGCCTGCAGGGTTTGCTGGGGCTGGAGAACATGGTGGCCCTTATAGCCACTCTAAGTATCCTGATGCTGAAGCACTCACTGGGCTGGCTTCGCGAATGCCCTGAATTTACCATACACATCACACATTTCCATAAAATCCAATCACCAAACAGACACTGACCAAGATCCTTAGATCCATCCATCTGGCTTCATTAGAGAGGAATGGTGTTTTGCTTTGTTCTGTTTTGTTTTACCCCCACAGGCTGAAAAACATCATGAATACATTCCTTTTGGAGAGGAAGCCTCATCTCCTCATCTGGGTCTGAGTTTGAAGTCTATATTGGGCCTTTTCTTGCAACTTCTTCTATGTCATCCTTGGAACAAAAGTGATCTCCATGTTCTAGGATACTGCTAAAAGTCCTTCCTTTAATCAATTGCCCCAAAGAAGCCCTCCCCCGCCCGCCCCCTCTTTATATACACAAGTAGAAACCAGCTATGGTGTGGACGCGGAGATGCAAGAGTTAAATGTGACAGACGGCTGAATAGCATCCAGAACCCAACACATCAAGCAGGCCTGGGGGTTGGTCAGCTCTGCTAGTGAGTGCTTAAGCCAACACACATCTCTTTCTTTTTTTCTGTTTTCTTTTTTACTAAACATTAAATTATTTCTTAGGAAATAAAAAGCTATTTACATTTTAGTTATATACATCCAGCCATCGCTAGCCTCGCTATGAGCATGCACGAGGCAGGGCCTCCTTGGTAAAGGTGTGCACGCTTTCTGCCGCCATCTCCACCACCCACCTACCTACCTCCTGCAATCAAACTGGGAAATCGTTTGTGTTGGATGTGTTGGGGAGAGAGAGGGTTGGTGACTGGGGAGGGGAACAGGAGGGTAATAAGGGACCCAACTGAAAGAGAAGGAAAAGACAGAGGTGGCGGGGGGGCGGGAATGGAGAGTCTTTGCTCTATCAATGGCAGAGTAAAGCAAGGAAGCTGTGGAAGGTGCATCCTTGGCCTTTCGCAAAAATACAGCCAATTGTTCCTTCTGTCTCATTTTAATCAGCTAAGAATGCCCCTTTCTTCCAAAGCTAAGCATCTGCTTGCTATTTATAAGGGGAGGGGGGCCCTTGGTAAATAAACAGTAAAAAAGACATTTTTCATTTTCCCATAATAATAATAATAATAGTAGTAGTAGTCATCAAAAATAAAAATTCAGAAAGGTGGTTGACCACGTGGCTTGTTGGTATTAAACGCTGGTGCAGTTGGGGATCTCCTTTGTGCTTTCGCTGTTTGCAATGGTGGCAATGCCTCCTAAAGGGGAGAGAGGACACAAAGAGCAAAAGGAGGTTAGTATGTTGCACAAGGGTGGCGACCTTAGTCTGAGTCACTGCTGAATTCGAAGTCATCTGCAAGAGTTGCATGGCAAGCATTTAAATAGGGTGCCTGCTTATTCCTATCAGCTCTCTAACTTCTCCATGTTTTGCATCTACTATCTCCCACACTAGGACATGAGGAGAATCAACCTGGTGATTGCCACCGTATACCCTGCAGGGATCAGAGCCACAGATGACTACGTAGTGAATACTCACTACATGGCAGGTATTGTGCTGGCCACAGTGTCACTTCATTATCACAACCCTGGCCAAACTGACTCTTGTTATCTTATAGAAACTGGATAGACCCTCACATATTCTTCTCATCTTACAGTTAAGAACTATTTGGCCCAGAGAGAGATCACTGACTGAGGTCACAGACCAGCCAGACAACAGCCTATCGAATATCACCTTCTGCATTCATGGGACTATAATTAAGGACCTAGAGTCATCTTTCTTTATAGTAAAAACGAAAAAGTTTAAAACTAATGGATAGTTGATTTTGTTCTTCTCCAACTACAACCCTAGGGCTTCTGATATGGATTCAATTCTAAAGGGAAAAAGTCTTCCAGTTTCATGTGGCAGAGTTGGTAGACACATGTTTGACTGTAGTTTCCCTTCAGGCTTCTTAGTCCAATGGTATCTGCCAGACAGGGCATGTGAGCTGCTGCCAGAATGCTTGGAGGATAGAGGAGTCTGAGTTTGATCGTACAGGCGCACATACCTATGACCCGCGTGTCCAGCTCTTTGTCTAGCAGCTCTTCAGGCTCAGTGAAGTCACTGAGTGTGATTTTGGGGGCATTTTCACTTTGGCTCACTGACCCAATCATCTCCTGCTCCTTGTCATGTTGTACTTGAGCATAGATGTTAATCCAGGGGATTTTCCTATATGGGTAGGAGCAAAGTCAGAGTAAGAGCACAGGATGGACTAAATGTGGAGCACTGGAAATCATGGATGATATGGGGAGGAAAAGTTATCAACAACTACAAAATAAAAGTCAGCTGGCCATGGTGGCTCACAATTATAATCCCAGTGCCAGAAAAGACAGAGGGAGGAAGATCAGAATTTGAAAACAACCTGATTGCATAGTGATTCAAGGATAGCCTATGTCTACAAAATGAGTCTTTATCCAGAGAGAGAGAGAGAGAAAGAGAGAGAATAGGAAGGAAGGAAGGGAGGGAGGGAAGGAGGGAGGGAAGGAGGGAGGGAAGGAGGGAGGGAGGGAGGGAGACAATAAATAGAAGTCAAATGTCAGGGAAAGTACTGGTCATGTAAATGCACTTCGGCCAACACAAAGGCACCGACTAGAAAGGCACTGACCAGCCTGATATGTTCCGTGAAAATGAACCCCACAGAACTCCCTGAGGAAAGCACTGCCATCCATTCTTGCAGTAAAAACCAAGCAAGTGTAAACCAAAAGGCAATGGATTTGATTTGTTATTCACCCAAAAGTTTAAAACATTTATTTGTTGGTAAGTTCTTGAAGAAGTTGGACTTTGAGGCTCAAAATTGTGCATCATGAACGACGATGCATCAATCTAATCAATTCACATTGGCTTCTGTTATCAATGGCCAAGAAATAATTGATTCCACCATTATTTGAATTTTCAGAGAAATACCCAGGAGCGAGGCATCATAAAGAGTCTGGTGTTCATCTGTTCAATGGGGCTAACAGTAATTTCCTTTTAGAATTATTGAGAGTATCAAAGAAAGGATCAGTAAACGCTAAATAGCTTCCTTTAAAAATGCAAAAGGACTAGGTTTGAAAATTTAAGGTAGCTGAACTTGGGTTTGAAAGAAAAGACAGGTTTAGATTGAAATCCCCTTGGGGCATTTATCTCCTGACTCATCTACATTCTCTCCTCTCCCACAGTACTCCAGCCTCCTTTGCATCCTCCTAACCCAAGATCATCAAGATTTGATGATTTTAATAATCACCCAGGGTCCTCAATGGAATAGACATAATGATTTTATAGACTTGGAATGGGATGAGTTGGGATTTGACTTTTCTATCAAGCTGCTGGGTCATGCTCTGGTCAGCGAGAGACCAACGTTTCAAACTGTAAGAATACCAAAGCTATTTCTCATGGGGAGTATTTGACTGTTCTGTCTATGTGTAACAAGCAGGCTCCCCCGTCTTCTCTCATGCTAGTCTTTCATCCCTTTGGCTTAAAATTTGATTTACATGTGTGCCATTTCTGAGAGGCCTCCCCTAAGCATATATTTAAAACTTTCCTTGTGTTACAGGTGTAACTATGGTATAGGGTTTACCAAAAAAATGTAAATAAGGTTTGGGTTTAGGGGGATATCATAAACAGTGCTTATTGGCTTGCTTGTTTGCTGTCTTTTTCTTCTGCCAGATTGAAAGCCTGCTGCAGACAAGGCCCACATTTTCTATTTTTATCAGTATATAATTAGCATAGTCCTTGGGACACAGTTTACATGCATTAAGGATTTGTAGAATAAATACATTATTCAAAGTCTGTGCACTTAATTCAAAGAAAAGATGATTATCTTTTAAGCTTGGAATTTCACATTCAGAGGCTACTTCTCTTACTTCATCAGTTGATGGGAAAGTCAGATAAGGGTCTTTCAGGAAGCCGATGATTGGCACAGATACCATGAGAACTCAGGACATCTGATGGCAACCCACATAGAGCATTCCTTGTGTCTCTAAAGGACAGTCTTTCTGAGGTCCTAATACTAACCAGTGATACTTTCAAGATTGTATACTCCTTGTCCCTCTTCAATCCCAAATGAGACAAAATATGGGGTGTTAAATAAGGTTTGCCAGTAGTTAATGCTGAAGGTAAACCCTGGAAAAAGGTTTAAAACACATAGAAGTGTCTATCTTTCCTTTCAGTTCAGTTTTGATGTCTTTAATGTTTGCTTTCCAACATGAAAGGAGACTTCCCCAGGATTCCTACTGGTTCAGACTAGTTTAATATACTTTGAAAGGTTTGAATGAGTGAAATGCATGTGAGGCAGTAAACCACAGCCTTTATCAAGGTATTGATTAAAAATTCATGCTGGCTCTGATCTGGACAAAGACATAGTCTAATGAATTAAATTCCTTCTAATCATAAAAGTACATATTACTCATCAATATTGGGATCAGTTGTAATATTTATTATAATCTGGGGCAGTCAAACTGTTGCTACACATACAAGCCTGTGTACTGCCATTTCTGCTTGGCTAAAGATACCTATGAGGTTTTGGATGAATTATCTCTCACAGTGATTGTTCACTTTATTTCAGTCTCTGAAAAACACATCTAAAAATAGATGTAGTTTCATCTTTTTTTTTAAATAGATGGTTGGAAGGGATTGAATTTTATATCACAAGTTGCAGCATTGTAAAAAGCTGTCAAGTTGCTTTTCATTTTTAATGCATCTCTTTGTAGGACTTTTGAGGATCTAAGTCAATTCTGAACTCTACTTTAGCATAAAAAGATCAAGGGCTATGTCTTGGGCCACACATTCATAGAGGTTTAAATAAGAAGAATGAGATGGATAGGCTCAAGTCTCTTAAAAAAAAACCAAGCAAGCAAACAAAAAACAACTGCAGTTTATATTCACTTCCTCTACCTATGAAGATGGCTGGAAGTCTGGGAGAGCAAGGTAGACTTTGAACTATACTAAAAGCACTGCTGGGGAAAAGGAATGGAAAAAAATGGAAAGACTCAGAAGTTTCATCTTGCCATTTACCTAGGAAAGGCAGGCCTAGTTACAAGTGTAGTAAGAAGAGTTTGGTGGTATTTTTCTGAACATAAGTCATCTAACAATGATCTTTAATTATATTGCTGAAACATTATGGAATAGTAATCACTACCCAATAGAAAAATGCAATGTGACAGTCAGAGTGATATTTGATATATTTGGGGATTGTCATAATTCTCCATCTCCTAAGTGAACACTTGGGAAAGATAGGAAGATGGTTTTCAATGCCTAGAACCTAATAGGCACTCAATAAATGAAGTGATGTATATTTAAATTGCATAATGCTGACAGTTACAGAGAGGAATGTCTGGTTGTAAAACTCAACGTAGCCAGTAATATGGGAAGAGAAAGAGAACTGAGAAAAAGAGAAAGAAAGAAAGAAAGAAAGAGCGAGGAAGGAAGGAAGGAAGGAAGGAAGGAAGGAAGGAAGAAGAAAGAAGAAGAATGGGGGAAGGAGGGAAAGAGGGGTAAGAAAGAAAAGAAAGCAAGCACAGTTAGACTGTGCTGCTCAACACAGTGTTACTTAGGTATAGCTACTTAAAATACAATTGATCAAAAATTAAAAATTCAGTTCCCCATTTTAATGGATGCAGAAAATTTTATTGGATAGAAATTTAAAAATGTGAAGGATGCTTGTGTATCCAGTGATCAGAACATGACCTTTAATTTTTTCAATTTGGGCATCCTCCACATAGCCACCATTGGGTTCTATACAATTGAAAGAAAAAGAGGCCAGATCTCAATGCATATGCCACAGAACTGAGAAAAACAAGGGTAGATAGAAGTCATGGGCACGGGGGATGTTGAAGGGATGACACAGATCAAGATGCATTGATGTATGCATATATTTCCTTGTTGAATTCCAAAAATAGTTAAATAAATAACCTACAAATTATGAATAGTGAAGGAAAGGGTGGATTGGGAGGGGTGATGCTATTGATCAAGAGACACTATATTCATAAACTGCTCTGTTGCCTGGCAATTCCTTTGTATAACTAGCTAAAGAAAATAAAAATATATTTCAAAAAATGTTTCATGGATTTTCTTGCCTAGTCTGGCTTCAAACTAGGATCTTCAGATTTCTGCATCCTGAATGGAGGACTACAAGTGTGAGCCATGGGCACCTGGCTAGATAATTCTTTTTAATTTTTAATTAATTATACTATAATTTGAAATGACAACTTTCTATTTTCCTGGAAAAACTCAATAATTATTGAATAATTTTGAAATACTAGTTCATCATCTCTCAATATCTGCTATTTCATTTGTTTATATTTTTGTATATACCATGTTACATGTAATTCAAAATTAATTATAACCTGATGTTCAAATATTTATTCCCTTATAAAAGTAAAAATTATGACAATACTTGGGTGTACCCAACTATGTTAAGCAAATCCTCTGGGACTTACAGAATAAAATAGCTCCAAATACAATAATATTAGGAGACTTTAATACTCCACTCTCACCAAAGTACAGGTCTACAACCTAGAAGATTGGCAAAGAAGCCTCCAAATTAAATGATGCCATATCTCAAGTGGAATTACCTGATATATACCAAGTTTTCCACCCTATAACAACCCAGTACACATTCTTCTCAGCAGCCCATGGAACTTTCTCCAAAATAAACCATATCATAGTTCATACAAGGAATTTAAGCAAATACAAGAGGATCGACATAATCCCCTGTATTCTATCTAACCACAGTAGAAACAAGCTAATTCTTAATAACAAAGCATACCATAGAAATTACTCAAATACATGGAAATTGAAAGCACACTTCTGAGCAACACCTGGGTCACAGTAGAAATTAAAGAAGAAATTAGAAAGTTCCTACAATTCAATGAAAATGAATATACATAACAAAGAAACCTGTGTGACATTCAAAAGCAGTCCTGAGGGGCCAATTTATCACTCTCAGTGAACACATCAAGAAAATAGAGTCCGACCAAGTAAATAATCTCATGTTGCAACTAAAACTGCTAGAAACGCATGAAAAAAATGACCCTAATGTTACTAGATGGAGCGAGATAACCAAAATAAGAGCTGAATTTAATGAGATAGAGACTAAGAATAAAAATTAATGAAATTAAACATAAAGTTGTTTTTTGAAAACAAATCAATAAAATTGATGGACCTCTGGCAAGCGTATCTAAAAAGAGAAG